ATATATTATATCTTGCATTATGTACTCAGCATGCACAATTGGTGCCCCTGCATGTTTCAAGAGAAGGGAGATAGGGGGCCTCTTTTGAAAAACAACATGAATTAGTACGTATACAATTCAATAATATCACCACCCACTTAGAGGAAACGGCAGAGCCCGACAACTGCTTTTTGTTAAAGGGCACAAGTCACGGGGAGGGAGAGGAGGAGGTGTATGTGCAAACTTCAGAGGAAGAGGAGGTTGCTGGGTAAAAGATCAGGGCAGTACATAGAGAGGTAAGGATTAGCCTGGGTCACTGGAGCAGCTCCATAGTCACAGTGATGTCATGGTCCACAATCAAATAGCTGTCACTTAGGGTTTCTTCACTGGACACAAAGGGGGACGTCCACTAAATGTATTCTGACTTCAAAGAGTTAGGATGCATTATTTGTTGGGCTGCAATGGCCATTAGTATTTTAGGTACTGGGGTTTAAATTATTTATACTGCATATACTGAGGCTTTTTTTTTTGCCCTAGAGGCAAACAGGATAACTATAAAAGGTAGCACATAGGCTGTTTATAATTTTAATGGAGTGTTTTCGATTTAAAAGAGGTTACACATTTACTAAGTGTGAACAACTGCAAGAGATCACTTCTTTATCCATTCAGAGATGGCCTGCCCTCCCTATTTAATTGTCTCCAACAGGGATCCTCTAAGTTTTCACCCTCCTGTTCAGGAGAAAATTGGTATTGCACTTTATCTATTCGGATGTAACAGACCTATATTATGTCTCTTTGTCCTAACAGAGGATTTAGCCTACCAATTGGATATAAACAGCAGCAAGGCAAGGAGGAGGTGCGCATTCACCTCCGTTGCAACATAGTGAGGTCTGTTTTAAGGATTTATTTTATTTTTCAGCTGGGGAAAGTCTAAATGAACTTTCATTACAAATCAGCTAAATGGATTCCAGGTACATCAAAGCAGCAGGTGTGCAAATTCTGTTAATTTTCTTTAAAAAGCAACCAAACCTTGAGTAGAAAAGCCTGTCCCTTGTCAGCATGCTGAATAAAAGAAGTCTAGCTCTTTATGTGACAGAAGTGGTCTCTCCAGAGGCAGCTCTGCTCTGCATTGATCAAAGCTCATATTACCTGTTGAATGGAAAGCTCTGACTCAACAGGGTGTGTGTCAGACCTCTGTAGAGAGACCACTGCTTCACCACAGAAAGCAAGAGTACTGTCAGTGGACAGACTTTTCTTCTTATACTGTGGCTGCTTTTGAAAGAAAAAAACAAACTCCCACTCACACAGCATGCAAAAAATCCTTTTTACAAAAATTATTTCCTACCTTTGTAGTTGTTTCTTTGGAGCAGGATTATACATAGGACTGTAAGGAGTTTCCCCTCATTAGCATACAGTGCAGAACACAAGACTTGAGATCTTTAACCCTTTCCAAGGACAGACAGTGTTAAAATCTACTTTACAACTGTAGTACAGTACAGACAGGGTTATAATTAGGGATGCACCAATACCGTTTTATGGTATTGAGTACGAGTACCGATATTTTGCTTTTGGTACTCGCTGATACCAAGTACTGATGACGGTACTTCCTCTGGCATAGATCTGGCTTCCTGGGCAATCAGGAAATTGGGCGGCAAGTAATAACATGCGGCCAAGCTTCTTGATTGCCCAGGAAGCTGGCTCCATGTTTTTTGGCAGGCTCGATTGTGATTGGCTGGGAAACCGGCTTCCCAGCAAATTTAGCATTGAGCCGGCTTCCTGGCCAATCAGGAATCCAGGAAACAGGTAATGACTCGCCCTCCTGGCTTCCTGATTGGCCGGGAAGCCGGCTCCATGCTGATTGACTAGAAAGCTGGCTTCCCAGCCTATTGGCAAGGCTTCCCAGCCAGTCAGCATAGAGTCGGCTTCTCGGCCAATCAGGAGGCGGGTCCTTGTTTCCGTACGACACTGCCGGTCAGAGGAAATCTTCCGGTACCGGGGAAGGTATCGGAGCATTTGGGCGAGTACGAGTACTCGCCCAAATACTCGGTATCAGCACCGACACCGATACTGGTATTGGTATCGATACATCCCTAGTTATAATTTTGGTAACTGTTCCCTCTACAGCCCCTTAACATTATATAAGGGGAATCTAGGTGCAATGTAAATGGTAACAGGCAGCAGATAGAAAGTAGGTGTTATCCCAATTTGGCTGCAGACGTTGAAATACACTTTAAGACTTGCACACCTTTTGCTTTGATGCACTTGGAATGTATTTAGCTGATTTAAGCTGAAAGTTTAATTGGGCCACCTTTCTTTTCATGAGCAATTCCACCCAAAACAGAATTTTGCTGTTTTAGATGAAGTGTGGTAGTGTTTTATTTCACTCCATGTTTTTATTAACTTCTGAGGACCCCAGCAGTGAGATCAACCATTAATTCCATTGCAGCTGTGACATACTGGCCTACTATATACAATCCAGTAGAAAATGAACAGTATAGCGCATAATAACTGCGCCCTCTAGTGGCTTTGCTATAGGAATACATTGAGATTTCACCTGGGCCATTGACAACAGTAGCTTAGCTGGAAAGTTGAGCTCGACCAAGTGTTGTGCTGGGGACATGAAAAAGGTTCTTCTCCTGGGATCCTAAAGAGCAGGAATGAACCCAAAAAAGGATTAAACCTTGTCTAAGAAGCAAAACAGGAAAAAACAGTGGAGCCTATGGCAATATGGAATCTTTCACATAGAATTCCCCTTGTGTACATGAGCTTCCAATATGCTTAAAATTCTGTCTTCTCTGTCTGCTAGCTGAGTTGCTATAAAATGGATAATAGCAAGGATGGATCTGTGTAAGAAGTAGTTGATTATGGTAATGACATGGAAATGAAATGTATTGTAAGCCACAATTAAAAAGTGATTTAAGGCAGTCTGCCAATTCCCCTTCATAGATATACTTAATAGTGCTTTTGGTGTTCTGCTCACATTTCCAAAAAAAAGCACAATATGCTTTTCTTTTTTTCTTTACTTGGAGCTATTTACCCTTACATGGGCAGAGAGTGTACTGTAGCTTAATTTATTACGTGCTGAGAGCATGCCCTTTTAGTTTATTTATATTTATCCATTGCTTAGTTGGTGCCACATTTGAAGCAGGGAAATAAAGAATGATCATGGGTTATGTGAAGTAGGTACAGTCCACGGATATCTGCATTTTAAAGAAATCCCCTGCCATCAATTGTTCATTTTTTTGTGGGTGCTGGGTAAAAGCAGAGCACCGGGCATATAACAAACACCAATTAAAGTAGTTAGGTATTAATTAAAAACAAGTTTTTAAAGGCAGAAACTGATGTGCTAACAGTAGTATAGAGTAGAGTTAGAAAAGGGAAGAACTGAGTAGCAAGCCTCTCCTCCTTTTCTGTCCAATCAGTAGCCTGGAGATGTGTTCTTGGCTCAACTATTTTGCTGCTGCTGCAATGGATATTTGTGGACCAAGCTGTACATTATGGCGGGATGCATGGACCACGAATTAATTATTATTATTGTATCTTTGTTTTTACTTCTTGGCTGGAGATAAGCTTTAAGAGGCATCATCTATCTAAAGGTTTAATGACTTTTCCAGACTTGTTAATCAAGTAAAAGTGAAGCCCCTCTGACAGACTACCACATTTTGGTTCCCGCTGGTCCTGTCTGTACATCAGAGGAATCACTGCCATAGCATGCACAGAATCCTGATATGCAGCAGCTGTGCAAGAAGTGACAGGAGGGGACCACTGGAGGAACTCTGTGTATACTTTGTATATATAAACAGTAAGGCTGACCAAGTAAAGGTGATTTTTATCAGCTTCCCCCACTGGATGAGCAGTTTTGGATGGAGATAGTTATTTGGTGTTCCCTAGCTTTTAAAGGTGACAGTAGTAACAGCTTAGTTGATATTTGTAAAAGTAAAGTAAGATAAAATGGCATATTTATTAAATTACAACCTATCTTTGTGAACGCATGATAAAAACACCTTTCAGTAACCCTAATTCATATCATAGAAGATATTATATCAAAAAAGGTTCTTGGGGACAGACATTGACAGACATTAAAAACCAACTTTGTCATCAACCATTGGCTTCTCATAGTTTTCAGGGATTCTAGTGGTGAGATATTTTCACCCAGGAGTCTCGGCTTCACCCACCTGTAATGGCGAAGCCACACAATCATGTCACACACTGTCAATGGAAGCCTCTCAGCAGAGGCACCAGACTTGTGCAGGGGAACATTTTAGGGGTAGGTTTTAGAAGAGATATATGAAGCTGGTGGGTGATACAACTTTCCAGTACTCGCCCAAAACGAAACTATCTACTTTTGGTTGAGATGGCTTTTAACACATATGTGTGGTAATTTCACGTTATAGTCTTTATGTAGTGAAACAGATGCATGTTAGCCCAGAACAATTATGCAAATCAGGATTTCTGAACTTCCTTATCTGCATGAATGTTCCAGGTCAATGCTTCAGAAAATACTAAAGTGAGAGATAGAGAGAGATAGAGAAAGAGAGAGGCAACTTGTATACTTAGAAGGAGGTCATCAATGGTAGCCCTGTATTTCTCATAAGATAGATTTCCTTTGGCTTACCTATAGACAGGTGTGATTTGTGCCAAAATGGAAAGTAGTCTCCATAGGGATGATGCTCATTGGCTAACACCTCTTGGGATGAAGATCAATGGGTTAGTAGACCTGTCCCTTTGTTGTAACCTCTCAGACAAGCATTAACTATAGTGCCTGTTTGTCTTGTCCTCCATCCAAGTTCTTACTTCTCCAGTGCCATAAACCAGACCATTCCTGTTTATGGAACACTTTTTGTTCCATTGACAGCTCAACATTTTGGATTTCCCATAACTTTTTGTTCCTGTGACAATGATCACCAGGACACAAAGGATGAATGCATCTCCACAGCAAGAACATCTAGCAGAGCTTGAAACCCTTCCACACTATCCAAAACAAAGAAAATTAGATACACTTTAATAATCAGGCCCCCTAGCAAAATGCAGTATAACTAATTATATATTTCAACAAGGAGACATTACTAAGTCCGTTTTGATAAGACTATGCCTATGAATCATATAAATATTTTCGTACAAAGCCTATGACGGTTATAAACTTGTCACTGACTAGCGTCCAGACCTTCTAATGAAACCCAGCTTCTTGCTTCAACTTTTACTTAAAACATGGATTTCTTCAAGGTGTTTCCTTTCCTGACATCTGTTTACTGTCAATGAGCAGAACACCAGGTTCCCAGGCGTCTCTCCCTGAGCTCATTTTCAATTCTCTGACATCATCATGGGGAGGAGGCCAGAGCAGCTGACTGTCAGTAAGACCAGGTCTCCCACAGATGGGTGGTTGAACAAGAAACAAATGCCAGCTTTAATACATAATACCTCTGTTTGTTGATTTATGCTACAGTCCGTCACTTGATACATTGTAATATATGTTTTCTTTTCTTTTCAGGTCAATATGTTGTTAGATATAAAATATATATTTTGGATATGCTCAGCATTCCACCTTTCCTATGCATTCCGTGCAGGTAAGAATTGTGTTTGTTGAAATGATAACATAAAGATTGTATTTTAAAGCTGAACTCCAGGCAGAAACAAAAACACAATTTCGTTTTAGATATACTGTAATAATTGAAAAAAATCATTAAATGTATTTTACATAGAAGTAGTGTCTTGATATCAGCATGCAATCTCCTGTAAAGCAGCACTGGAAGAAGGAGGCACAGCACTGCCAATCAGTCAGGTTCTACTGCATTGAATGTGGTTACATGAGGGAGGAGCAGAGGGATGACCTGATCAGTGTGCTGCTGCTCATTCTATGTCCATTCACAGGCCAGGCTGGTCCTGGATCAGACTGTGTCATGTTTAACTGCAGTTTAGTCTGCAGGGATTCTGGATCATTGGACTGGCTGAAGAGAATTTCAAACCATTTGGCAGGGAGTTCAGTTTTAAAAGGGAAACCATCACCTTTTATTACATATAACATTATTTATTTTATGTATTTATTTTAAGTTATTATTTATTTATTTACATATATTATTTTAATGTTTTTACAGAAAGTATGTTTGGCACATTTATTATACATTTTCGTGGTTTCTGTTGTGATATAAGTCCACCAGCCCTCAAAGTATAGAAATAATGGGCACAAAAGCAAATGGTAAAAGAGTCCAAAGATACCTTTAGTTATACATAATTTAATCAAACAAAAATTGCCAACATATTTTGGGGAACAATAATCCTCCCCCTTCATCAGGGCTACAAAAACAAACATAACACATAATGGATCAAAGGACTATAATGATAAATAGATAAAAATGTATAACGTTTTGTAACATGAACAAATGTTTATAACATAATTTACATGCCCACAATAATATTTGTGTCTGAACTACTTAATGAACTAGCAATTTATTTTTAAAATTCTAAAAAACATAATTCTATAAGAATTGCAATTTTATACATTTAGGCGTCCATTTATAATCAATTTGCAGAGCCATTCACCCTGTGTATCTTTTGAAAAGTTTGTACTGTGTAAAAAGACACAAAAAATACTTTTCAGGTTGAATGTATTTCATTTAATACTGCATTTTGGCCACTAAAATATTTATTTCATATGCTCGTTGGCTCCATCTAGTGACCCTAATGCACTATTACATTACAAACATTCAACGCAAAAAGCAAATATACGTTCGCTTTTTGTGTCAGTTCACACAGATGGATTCATAGGGTGAATGGCTCTTTAAATTGGTTATAAATAGACCCTTTTAATTGGATCTCTTTGCATTGCCATTGTCTGATCTTTTGCAGACAAATGCATGAACTACACATAACAAAGATGTGTTTGTTAGCATAAGCTTATGTTTTTATTACACAGTAACGAGTTCATTAAGTGCAATGCACCTGATTTTTACAAACAAGGAAAGACAAGAGCTGAGCTGTATTCTGTAACCAACCAAAAACTTGTAACGTGGCTAAAGTGTCTCTGCAATGATTTCCCTTTCAAGCTTTAAAAAAAAAAAAAATATACTCTTAGTAGTGGGGCCCTCCTACACTGCAAGGGTTAACTACTCAATAAATCTAGGGGTAGTGTATCTCTTGCTCCAGCAGGCTCTAGCTTTCTTCTCTTTTCTCTGATGCTCTGGGTTGTGGGCGGGCCCTTGCCATTCTCATGTACTATTGGTCCTGCATTATACGTGATGATGTCAGAGTGCGACCACCAGTCGGAGTGCCCTACAGAAGAGGATTTGGGGCACCAGTCGCACAGCACGGTGGAAGCCTACAGGAGGAAGAAATAGGGTAAGTATTGTAGATTATTCCTCTAGCCCTAGACTTAATGAGCATTTAACTCTTGCAGTGTGTTGGTGCCCACTGCAAGGATATTTTTTTAACCCTGTCCGTTCCACATTCCTATTGCTTCTTTATTGGGATGTCCAGCCTTACAGACCAATAGAGGGACTAGATGGGGACAGGTCTAGCTCAAGTATTACAGAAATGTTTCAGCTCTCTATATAACATCAACTGCCTATTTCTCCGGATCTATTGGGTTTGAAATGTGGTCTTCACTGTCCAGGTAACCTCTACTGAAGATTTTTCTCACAATATGATTAGTATGAATTGCTAATTTTTATCACAGCTTTGCAGGGCACCTTATCTTTTGTAGGGTGCCAGACCTCATTCAGGAATAAAGCGCTGCAGAGTATTCCACAAAAAGCTGAGCTGACGTTATTTCTATGGAGAAGGGAGGGGGTGGAATGAAGGGCCACACAGGAGACTCTGCCAAGCAGCAGTTTTTCAGTGAAGGAACCATAGTGAACAGGACCAATTTTTCTAACCTAATTGTGATGATCCCCCAACTGCACCTTGACATTGGGCCACCCAGAGCCAAAAAAATCATCACCCAATCAAGCCTGAAAGCCAGATCTAGGTTCACTGATTGAATGCATCTGATCATGGATCATGTATAGCATGTTTTTTAAATTAGTTTGGGAATAACCAATGACAGTGTCATTATAGATTCCTGATTATGATGTAAACATGAGTCTTCTGATGTGGGATTGCAACGTTGTACTAAATTGTATAGTATGTGTGCACTTTGTGCATTGCTCTTTGGCTTATTAAACAGTTTCAGTCATGTTTTAATCCCTGTGTAAGTATTTTGGCAGTATGTCCAATAATCATGGTACTTGCAGAATTTTGAGGCTACAGCTGAGAAATACCTCTAAAGCTACAGCTGAGGTCACCAGTCTCCAGGATTTAAAGATGTTCAGCTTTATTTTCCCAGAGTTTGTTATATTTTCACTATGGCTTATACAGTAATTATGATCTAGTGTGACAAATGGAACAAGATTAAAATGTCATTATTCTATGAAAATGGACAATTAGTAAACTATTCCATGGCTTGAAAACTGCCAATTATGAAAACTTTTCATGTTCGTGCCAGGTGGAAATAAATTTCTTGTTATCTAGAGAAAAAAAATGATTGTGTAAGCAAAAAGGTAGCGGAAATATAATTCTAATGTTAACTGCTCCCTATTTTTCTAGCCTTCATTAAACTCACAGCGGGTCAGGAGGATTAAACAGGACCCATATATTATGACAAGGAGTTGGTAATGGAACATATCAAACAATCTTTTTTCATAATTAGTGGTTTTTATTTAAAACAAATGAATACACTGCAGAAAAAAAAAATATTATTAATGAAAAAGAAAGCGTGGAATGGGAAAGTGGGAAATTATTAAAGTGGACCTAGCATCAGATATATTTATTTAGGTTAAGTGAAGATAAGCTAAGGGGTGTTTTATAAAAGTTCAGCCTGCCTTGTCGCAGCACAGATGCCATTCGTGCAGCATTAGCACCCCTAGATGGTGCCGACGAGTATAGGAATCTAGTACCCTTAGAGGGCACAGACGAGTGTAGGAATCTAGCACCCCTAGATGGTGCCAATGAGTATAGGAATCTAGCACCTCTAGATGGTGCTGACGAGTATAGGGATCTAACACCCCTAGATGGTGCTGATAAGTATATGAAATCTAGCACCCCTAGATGGTGCTGATAAGTATAGGAATCTAGCACTCCTAGATGGTGCTGATAAGTATAGGAATCTAGCACCTCTACATGGTGCTGATAAGTATAGGAATCTAGCACCCCTAGATGGTGCTGATAAGTATAGGAATCTAGCACTCCTAGATGGCACTGATAAGTATAGGAATCTAGCACCCCTAGATGGTGCTGATAAGTATAGGAATCTAGTACCCCTAGATGGTGCTGATAAGTATAGAAATCTAGCACCCCTAGATGGTGCTGACGAGTGGCAATGTACAGACCTTCAGTTATGGACTACAAGTGCAGTGATGTCACCACGCACTTGTACTCCACTGAGAACTATGAGTCCCTCTGCCGCAGTTGTTTCATTCACAGCTTCTGTGGATAAGTCTGTAAATGAATGATGTGGCTATGTAGGCAGAAATAAACATAAGTC